TTCGTTTGTTGTCTTACGGCGATAGCGATCCTTCAAAGCCACACTTGAACCTTCGAGGTAAGCACTTCTTGTTGTTGTTTTGTGTTATTTGCCCTTGTCTTTCAGAAAATTGCGTCCCAAAAATTGACCTTACCATAGCCATATTTAGTACACTTGGCAATTGTTTTGTTTTGGGACGACTTTGTTACGAAGGTTCCTTCTTGTTTCTATTCTTAACTACGATTGACAGATGTTTTAAGGATGGAATTGTGGCATAGGCATGGTTACAAACTGAATACTGTTATTTTTCAGCCATAAATTTTGATTAAAAATGGCTGAAACTAACTACATTCGGAGTTGGCGCCGAGCAAGTGTACACACACGGTGTGTAAAGTTCCAATCGACAGACTATTTTGTGTTGAGAACTGTTTCGCTCAAGCAATATCCTAGATTAACCCTGCTAATGGTTCGTAAATCAGCCTGTTAATTTCGCTCATATTTTAATGTTGAAATTAAACTACTAAATTACATATCCAGTGAATACAATCGCCTCACGTCGTTCCTCGCAGCTTGTATTCGAAGGCACCAAAGAGACTCGAATAATGTTTGTACTTTTCCCTTACATAATTAACTAGCTTAAACTTTAAATAATTGTTGCATGAATGGGAAAACACCGACTGACATTCTTTGGCCTCCGCTTAGGCTCCTAAGTGTTGTTGTTATTTTTTGAACAGTGTTTTAGTTTTCCTTTTGTTTGTCTTTATTGTAGGATTTGCTGAACACACAAAGTCAATATCTAGGGGTCATGATTGACAACCATCTTTCGTGGAAACATCATATTAATTATGTTGCGCTAAAAATTAGTAAAAACATCGGGATACTATCTAAATTAAGACATTTTGTTCCTCCTAAGACACTTTTCGGGATTTACAATTCTTTAATCTACCCTTATCTTTCTTATGGCCTCGTTGCCTGGGGCCAGGCTGCAAAAACTCATTTGGAGAAACTCCTTACATTACAAAAGAGAGCTGTGCGCCTTATTAACTTCGCACCTTTCCGCTCTCATGCCGTCCCTTACTTTCTTCACTCTAATATTATGCCTATTACAATGCTCTATTTTAAGCTTTCTTCGATGTTAATGTTTGATGTTTACAATAACACTGCCCCTCATAATATTTCAGATCTCTTTATTCCTACTCAACAAATCCACTCTTACAGCACTCGCTCCTCCTCTTCTGGAAATTATTACATAAGCCACTCTAGACTAAATCAGAAAAATGATTCGTTTTCTATTATGGGAGCCAAAATTTGGAATAGTATACCTGAAAATTTACGAAATTCTTCAAAATCTCTCTTTAAGGAAAAAGTTCATACAATTCTGTTGAAAATATTTGAAGTTCAGGATAGATATGCTGACCTAAACACGATAATCTCCGATTTTAAAAAATATTAGCCCCCGCTTATCTAAATAGCTGCCTCGATTTTCTTATCTCAATTTCTTTCGTGACTGACCTTTTTTATTATAAATATGGTTCTTTTTCACTTCAACTTTTCGTAATAAATCTTAAGCCGTCTACACACCACCTGCCTCGATTAGCCTTGCTATTTGCAGGTGGTGTGATATTTGTATATTTAATGTAAGAAATAAAGATGTTGTTGTTGTTGTTTGTTGTTGTTGTCAATGAAGACAGTAAAATTGTGGTCAAGTACTCTTCTGAGAGGGCAAAAATCAATCAATCTTTCTGTATTAAACAGCAACAAAGTTGCTTTTCTCATGCATGAGAGTGAGAAGGTGGCATCTAAATTATTTATGATCAGAAGCTTTATTTATCCCTTCGGGCACAGTTTCTGAAAGGCTTATTAGCACTAATCCAGGATTAAAATTTTGTTCCACTTTTTGTATTTGCCTTCCTATGCATTGCCTAGAGTAACATTTTGTGTTATGGTTTCTATTTTTCGAAGTAAAGGCTCAACAGTATTTGTAAACTCGAGTTGCATGATCTTAGACAAGAAAACCCTGCTTAAAACTTGGCTTAATCCTAGGTTAAACTTAATCATCTTTCGAGGAACTGGGCCCTAGAGTGTATTTATTACTTCTTTCTGAGTGGGACAAATTAACTGTGTTTGAGGGTCAATGCTTGTACTGGCTACAGAGTCATGTGTTTAAGTTGGTTAGTGTTCTTCTCTGAAACGGTCTATATCTGAATCACATTATTTTTCAAACCAAAGATGGACTTGATTAGCACTATTATTATATTCGGTTTTTAGAGATCCAAAGCAACAATGTACCTGTAGATGATAAACCTTACCAAAATATATTCTAAATCAAATTAATAAAACTGATATACCTGTACTTGTTTGGGGTGTGAATTTTGTTTTCAACAACATGATAATGTGACCAGACAGTCATATTTTTTTCAATCCGTCATCCACTTACCTCAGACTAAACATAAAGCCCCGTAACCCTGGATGTTACCACTTTTTTTTCCTATAAGCAGCTTCTATTTTTCTTTGGGAACAGTGTTTATGTTTATTTCAGAGGTTAATTACAGTATTCCCTATCCATATCTGATCATTAACACTACACAAAAACTTAAACTTTGTTTCATCCTAAAAAAGGTCAATATTTCAAAGATGATATTTCTAAGTTTTATTAAGCCTTATGGAAGACAAATGTTTCCTCATGAAAAAGAAGTGAAGGTTCTACTATTAACCAGGAGAGTTTGCTTCCCAGTTGTATTCTAGCAGTTAACAATTAACCGTTTTACATAACATTTTTAAAAGCGTTGCAGTTCGCTTTTTCAAAGACGTGCTGACTGAAAAGTACCTTGGGTCATTGTACATTTATACCTGAAAATAAGAAAACAACTGGCCTCACTATGAAAATTGATTTGAAAAAGTTAGAAATGCCGTTTCCACGGTGGTCCGCGAGCAAATTTCCTTTCTCTGCTGTGAGCTTTTCCCCGCTTTTTTACATTTCTCAAATACGGCTTCTTATTTAACATATATACAATACTTTATTTCAAAATAGCAGGCATTGTTAAAAACAAGTGCAGTTATCAAGAAAAAGGAAACCCAAAGGTCAACCATATATTAAGGATCTCCTAAATGAACAAAAAAAATATTTATATAAATATAGCAATAAAAAATATGTACATTATATAAAAGCAAGTTGATGAAAATACATAAAAACCACAGAAACATCTTTAACAAAGTATGGAATGTGCATTTAATAAATATTCATGTGATTTTTCAATCTTAAAACTTATTGATGTTTGGACTGTCGTGACAATTGATTACGTTGCTTGGAAGATCGTTCCAAAACTTGATTATCTTAACAAAGAAGGAATATTTATAACAGTTTAATTTTGCGAGTTTGGTTTGTATCTTATATTGATAGTTGGATCTCATCTTAGTGCTCTTGCACAGTCCAAAATAAGCACTGAAGTTTAGACCATTCAGATTGAATACGATCTTATAGCACTCCACCAGAGATAGGAATCACCTCCTTCGTTCTAAAGAGTTCCATTTAAGAATTTTACACCTATCCTCATATGTCATCTCTTGTTTTCTTTGGCCTAGGGCGAAAAATAATTGAAAGAAAATTGAACGCTTGTTTGAGCTGGGTACTTGAAACACCAAGCCTCGACAGTTTTACCGCTAATAAAATCATTTTGTCAAGGGTTGTTAACTTATAAAATTCGACACTCGCTGAGCTTGTCGATAAAAGCAGAAAAGAAAGCGTCAAAGACACGCAAAACATCGGATGTAAAAGGTTGAATGGCTCTCGTTAATGTGACGTCACATTTCTCCACTATGTTGGAATCGATCGCTTCAGCCAGTTTCCTATCCAGTCTTTCTATACCCATACCCAAATTAGCTAGAAAGTGTGAGATTAAACATTGGTATGCCTGTGGTGCGGACGGACAGAAGGTCGGGCGGTCGGTGTAAGGTCACGTGAGAGATACAAAATAAAAAAAAATACAAAAAATACAAAATTGAGCCCCTGCTCAAATAAAATATCAGCGGAAAACTTTCAAAATACGTGACCTCAACGGGTAGAAAAATGAACTGCGATACTTTCAAGTGGTGATGGTCAGCGGATGCTCTGGTTTGACAGCTGTAAATTAACCTCTCGAATTAACGGATCGTCGACTACGAGTGTGAGGAAGAAATTTCAGTCCGGCTTGTAGTGGGGTCGAAATGTCAGATCGTATACCTGAGCGGACCTGAGCCCACGTTATCAGTTTTCTGATAGCTGTCAATTGACCTTAATTTGGCTTGCGCATATAACTTTAAACTAGAAATACGTGTATCGCAGAACCTCGCGAAGCTCGGGGGAACCCATAAGGGGTGGGAGGACAGGAGACAAATAAAGTAAATCATGTAACTGGGGAGGGCGGGTCTAATATTGGAAGCTGAGATGTACTTATTCTCCTGTGGATTAAATTTGAAAACTTAGTGCTCTGGCTTTAAAAAGGATCTTCTGAGATTTAAATGGATTTACTGTTGTTAGCGAATGCTGCATAGGTCCATCCCCCCATGTTCACCCCGTTTTGCCCTCCTACATGTGTAACTCTAGTCAAAAGGAAATGGGGGTGATAGTGGATAACTGCCGGCTAATATAAAGATGCATTTACTTAATAAAAGCTCACCCTTAAGTGCAATAATTATTTGTGAAATGTGTCGGTAGAAGTGAGTGAAGGGCAATGCTAGGAGATTAGAAAATTATTGTTAGGCGAACTACAGCTATAAAAGTGTTTGCCCTTTTTTGGTACATAATCACACTTGACAACTATTGTTTGTAACAATAAAGTGCAAACATAATCACTGAAATAGAAAATTACAAGTAGCAATGTCATTAAGGATGTAGTTCATGAGAATTACTAAAGTGATTATGACTTATGACTAAGAGTAATCGGAGCTCAGAAGAGTGCGTTCGATATGTTTGTAAGGCGTACAGGTAGCAGTTGAGGAGGAAGGGTGGATGGTTATTGCGATAGATAAAGCCCGGTTTCCATATGATCGCTACGATCGCTGTGATCACTGAGAAAAAAAGTTCAGCGATCATATGGAAACCATTCTCCGGCGATCGCAGCGACAACGATCGCTAAGATAGAACTTTTTATATCTCAGCGATTGTTGTCGCTGCGATCGCTGGAGAGTGGTTTCATATGATCGCTGCGATCGCTGAAGTATTTTTTTTTCTCAGCGATCGCAGCGATCACAGCGATGGTAGCGATCATATGGAAACCAGGCTTTAATTTGATCATGGCATATTTCAAACGTAAGGATTGCTTACAGCGAAACCTCTATTTAAACTTTGTATCATTATGAAAAAGCCTTGAAGGCCCGTCTCAATAAGTGCAGTAGTTTGGTCGCGTTTGTTGATTTCAGTGACTAGAGTGGAGCTACTGTGGGCTGTTTATAAGTTTTTCCGAATAAATAACATAGACCTAAAATGTTCGTTTGTCCGGTGCCGAAAATATCACAAGTCATGATGTAGTTTCGAAAACGAAGCACTCGAAAACGAAGACCGAAGCACGAAGCACCCAAATCTCGAAAACGAAGCCCCCAAATCTCGAAAACGAAGCACCCTAGATAGAAAACGAAGCACCCAAAACTCGAAAACGAAGACCCCAAAACTCGCAAACGAAGCACCCTAGATCGAAAACGAAGCACCCAAAATCTCGAAAACGAAGACCCCAAAACTCGCAAACGAAGCACCCTAGATCGAAAACGAAGCACCCAAAATCTCGAAAACGAAGCACTCAAAACTCGAAAACGAAGACCCCTAAATCTCGAAAACGAAGCACCCAAAACTCAAAACCACTGTAGGTTTAATAACTGCAACTTTACGTCTTACATGACGCAATCCGAATCAGGTGGAGGCAGCGGATGCGTCCGCACCTCCAAAGGTCCACAAAATCCATCCCAAGGTTTTATGGAGTGATCCTAGCCTGCCAACTGTTTAACTGAACGTTTCTGGATAGGATATACTGTATTAATTTTTATTATTGGTCTCGCTATACTTAATACATCTTACCTTAATATGCATTTTTTCGGTACACATACCACAGGCGGCCCAGACGTAGTATGTGTCACTGAATGAATATATTAATATCCACATGGACAAATTAATGCGATGAGTCGTCGAAACTCCCATGGACTAAAATAGTCTAAAAGTCAAAATATAACAAAACAAAGCTAAGATACCTTCAACTGAACGTATCCTTGTCTTTCCTGGCCGGTTTAAGTGGCATTTTGTTGAGTTTTGAAATTGTAGGTACTATCCACTAAAGAAGAATTAAAGGCTGGCTACAAAACAAACAGACCATCTTCACGCGCCTTCACACGAAGCGCTATAAATTCGAGAATAATCGACGAATCTGCTCCAAATAACCATCGGCTAATCTGCAGGTAACGTGTGCTCCTGCTTCTGGCTCGCTTGCTCGACAAAACCCATTGCAACTGCACAATAATTGCTCGCTCATCAACAACCACTGTTGACCTTTACGCTTCGATATGACCGCAAACGACCAGGTTTAATACGCGACGTGACGCGACGTGAATATTCAAGCTTAGCGACCGCGTTCGCGCAACAATGCAGCACTTGCTATGGGAGGGATGGTACTATTGCTTCTAGGTCAATCGACTGACCGAAGGTTAGCTGCGTTAGTTTTGACCAGAAAACAAAAGGCGATTGCGGGACCGTCCGTAAGTTTTCAACAGGGCAGCCCTGGTTTTCAAGTTCGAATTCTTCTAACGTTCGCTGTCTCAGCTGCTGTCACATTGTTCGTCCAGCCGCTTGCATAGGTTCTTGACTCTACCAGACTTATTTGCTTAGATTAACAACGTCTTACTCCATAACATGTTGTCCAAACTGGTGAAGGAGGACGAGAATTTTCCGCCCAGGAAAAAGGCAAAATCTGGCCCCCGCTATGCAGCTGAATAGAAGATACAGCTGAAGATATCGTAAAGTAAAATTTATGTGCGCGATATCTTTTTTTATTATTATTATTATTATTATTATTCTCAAAACTCAGGGGCACCCAACGATGATTTCCCCCTAGAGGCATTGAAAACACATTTAAGGCTGTCCAGAGTACTTTTGATCGAAGAATGCATTCTAAACAGCGCTTACTTAAATTTAGTCAGGAGGGCTAAAAGCGAAGCTAATGCTCATACTAAATATAAAATATATCGTGTAATGCTAAGCGGAGAAGGCAACGAGACAGGGCCACCCAACGACTGTTTCCTCAAATACTTTCAATTGAAAACACTTCTGTAGCTATTCATAAAGTACTTTTACCTCTATAGAAATGCATTCTAAGTGGCGCTATAAAATTTGCATCTCAGTGTTCGGCCATTCTAGAGGAACTTGAGTCTTTTCGAAATTACGAGGAATTCAGAATTATTTTCCCGAAAATTTTAGATGCAATTTAACGTATTACGAGGAGATAATTTTTCAGATACCTTCTTTCATCACATTTTTGAATCCGAAAACTTTAGGATTCCATTTTACTCACTACGAAAAATAGCCTAACCCGGTGAGTGAAATGTGAAAAATTAAAAGTTGGATGCCCTTGACCAGAACTGTGAAAAACAACAATAGGTCTAATTGCAGCACACTTTCTTGTACATTTCCTTGCCGTTGATTTGCATGACTGCAACGCGAAACGTCCAGAAAACTTTTTATGGAGAAAATGTGGTATATGTTCTTGTTCACTTTTTCCACTGCCGCTCATTTTTTTTAGCTCCGCTATAAGATTCGTATCTGTTCGGTGCTCCTTGGGCAAATTGGATCTTTTTAAAAATTACATGGGCTTCAATATTATTTTCCCGATTGATTGACCTGGAAGCAATAGTACCATCCCTCCCATAGCAAGTGCTGCATTGTTGCGCGAACGCGGTCGCTAAGCTTGAATATTCACGTCGCGTCACGTCGCGTATTAAACCTGGTCGTTTGCGGTCATATCGAAGCGTAAAGGTCAACAGTGGTTGTTGATGAGCGAGCAATTATTGTGCAGTTGCAATGGGTTTTGTCGAGCAAGCGAGCCAGAAGCAGGAGCACACGTTACCTGCAGATTAGCCGATGGTTATTTGGAGCAGATTCGTCGATTATTCTCGAATTTATAGCGCTTCGTGTGAAGGCGCGTGAAGATGGTCTGTTTGTTTTGTAGCCAGCCTTTAATTCTTCTTTAGTGGATAGTACCTACAATTTCAAAACTCAACAAAATACCACTTAAACCGGCCAGGAAAGACAAGGATACGTTCAGTTGAAGGTATCTTAGCTTTGTTTTGTTATATTTTGACTTTTAGACTATTTTAGTCCATGGGAGTTTCGACGACTCATCGCATTAATTTGTCCATGTGGATATTAATATATTCATTCAGTGACACATACTACGTCTGGGCCGCCTGTGCACATACATGTTTATGTAGACTTCAAAACTGTCCGTCAGCAGATTTTGGCGCATTCAAGTACGCGTGAGCAGTAACACAAAAGGTCTGAAACGAGGCTGAAAACGGAGCGTGAGGCTCGCGCGTATTACTCTTACGCCACGCTTTACCGACTTCTTCACTGATTTTGAGAAAAAAACTGATTGTTTTGCAGTCTAACATATTGGATATCTATGACACTGCGTGATCAGATCAGATCAGATCCAGGCAGAATTTGTTCTAGGGTAATAGCCTGGGACCAGGCTCTATGGTGGGAAACAGGAGAATTTTGAAATAAAAGGAGCGAATAAAAAAAGGGAGAGTTAAGCTATTGAGAAGGCGGCCGGTGGGGCGAAGCCTGGACATACGCTTTTTATGCCACCGATCCACCCTAACTAAGACTAACGCCTGATTGGCTTTTACTGGCAATACAGTAACATTCTAGAAATAGTTTAGGCGTTCTCGGTTTTCTGATCACGTCCAAAACATAGCCTCCCACCGGGCCTCCTACGCAGCGGCGGAAATGCATAAATTTTTACAACTTGAGTAGATTTGAACTGCATTCGATTCGTTATAGTGCTTGATTCCTGCTGTATTAGCATTGGTCTCGTGTTTATAAAGGACAGACCGGTGTCGAGTTTTTGGGTGCTTCGTTTTCGATCTAGGGTGCTTCGTTTCGAGTTTAGGGTGCTTCGTTTCGATCTAGGGTGCTTCGTTTTCGAGTTTTGGGTGCTTCGTTTTCGAGTTTAGGGTGCTTCGTTTTCGAGATTTGGGTGCTTCGTGCTTCGGTCTTCGTTTTCGAGTGCTTCGTTTTCGAAACTACCAATCTCCACTTCGTTCTATGAAAGGAGTAACAGCGGTTACGCAATAAAGCCAAAAAACGGTAAAACGACAAACAGACACCAAAACGCAGAGGAATAGATTGCAGGTAAGACTTTTTTATTCATTTCGTTTAAGAAAAAGTAAGGTTTAGCGTTATTTAGCGTTCGCAGATCTCATTAATATATTACTCATACAAAGTCTCTTTAATATGTTTTCAACGGTCGCCTGTAACGCGACACCGGCGCGTCACCTATGTTATGTAAATTACGTTACAACCTTTTCTCGCAACGTGAGTTTGGGCCGCCTGTGCTGAAAGATACCGACACGGCCTGAGACTCAAATTACTCACACTGGGATTGGGAGACAGTCTCTTGCCCCCGTTGTTTTCTTTCACGGGTATTGATGTCAACGGGAGCAAGAGACTGTCTCCCACCCCGAGTGTGAGTAATTTGAGTCTCAGGCCGTGTCGCTATCTTTCAACGGTAACGCGGAGTTCAAGGAGTGTAGCTAAATGTCGTGGGTCGTGGGTAGTGGGTGTTTGTCGTGGGTGTGGGTAAATGTCGTGGGTAAAAAATAAGTCTAAAAAAAATATTAAAATTAAAAAAATAACAGCAAAAAGTTGTAAAATTCATGAAACGAAAATCTCCGCGTACATACCAGTCCTATTCTCCTTCCCCGCGGTCAGCAAAGCAAATAAGCGAATCCTCTAGTACAAACGGACACTAAAAAGACATTTAGGTGAAAAATAAAAGAAACTCTGTGCACTATGTAAACCTAAAGCAGGCTATAGAAAAACTGGAGGCTGAACTGCTTTTTCTCAAAGATGTCAACATTCGTGACTGAAACCATAGTTATTAGAGGAGACTGGTTATGAAAAGCGGCAAACATCAATGATAAAAACAACAGTGCTACAGTTTATGTTCAAAGCACCGTGAAAGTGCACAATCCTTTGTTTTCTGTTGGCAAATTGTTACGGAATAAATTAATGCAACGTTTTTATTGGTCAATACAATCAAAATGATAGGAATTCTTTTGAACGTTGTGCACTTTCAGGTCCACAAAAACATATAACAAAGGAGTCTGACGGGTTTCATAACCATTCCACTCAATTAACTATGCTGAAACGTCCTTTCAGTTTAAAGAGTGATATTTCGAGTCGTTACGGCAAAGATTTTGTACACAAAACAGCAACAAGAAAAAGAATCGAGAAAGTTGTATTTCGGTACGGCAATAAAATTTACATACAGTCTCGCCTTAACTTGAAAGGTTAGGAATGAAGGTGGTTCCTTCGTAAGGTAATTGAGACCTAAGACGTCTATCCAAAAATATGAAATACCTAAAAATTGTCCTTTTCCCCTCCCCTTTCTCACGGTGATCGCATTCCATCGTGTTAAAAAGTCTCCACTGATCATTGGAATTGTCTATCGAATACTGAAGATAACTAGTGAGCAGCTATTTTCATTCAACGAGTCAGAGCTGTCCCATTCTGCAAATTGCAGGTATAATTTACGTCTGTTTCGTTTATTTCGCGGCGATAGCTCAGGTATGGATAAATCTTCATCGGCAAAATGTCTTTCATACAGTGATGTTGTGAAAGGGAAGCTAAGTCCAACAAGAACTGGGAGGACGAAGAAGAAGCCATGATGAAAAAGGCAATCAAGGAGTTGCAGGTTTTCGTTTGACAAATATTTTACAACTTTTTTCTCTTTATTTCTTTTTTTCAATTACTTTACTTTATCATTTTTTTTCTATACTTTTTTTACCCACGATATTTACCCACACCCACGACCCGCACCCACGACCCACGACCTCTACCCACGACCCACGACATTTAGCTACACTCGAGTTCAAGCCGTTCAAGTTCAAGGAGTTTAAACCTTTATATAGACAGAAAATCGTTTACAAAGACCCATAAAACGGCCATAAATCGGTCCGTAGACCACACAGGAGAGACGTAACACACAGTTTAAGTAAGGTAAGCTGTTTTTTATTGAAATCCTTTCATTTTCGTGGGTTACAGAAACGATAGGTTTTTTTTTTCATACAAATCCGTATATTTTGAATCGTACTCAGAAATGCCGATGCTCGCCGATGCTCATATTTCGAGCTTGGGCTACCTGTGGTTACTCGCGCTGAATTTAACGTCGACGTTCTCGCAATTGCGGAGTTTTGTTTGTAAATCTTTCCCAGCGAGGATTTCCAGCCACTTGTTGAATCCACCGTTGTTGAGTTTGCTGTTCTCTTTTATTTGCCTGAGATACTGAGTGATGATTCAGCGACCGTAAACACTGTTATAATTCACAGATGAAAAACCCGTCTTCATGAATAAAACCCAGAGCTTTGTCGTCGATGGCAATCGGTTGCCTGGAAACCCATAATGCACTTTGACGTCACTTCTCTGGATGACGTCACGGCGGACACCAACCAAACTCGATAGATTTCAATTTTCGTTTCGCTTTGAAATAACATTCCTGCGGGCAAGGCGAAACGAAAACACTGAGCCTGATACAAACCTTCTACGAAACGTCTTCCGCCCACTTTTTTGATTGATTGACATTTACCGAATCAGCCAACCAAAATACTTCCGTTGCTTGTTTTTCTAGTATGCAAATTTTACATGCGTGGGAAAAATGCAGACTGGTTGTCTTAATGATAGCTTTTATCTTTTATTTTTTTCAGCTAAAAATAAAACAGTCAGCACAATCACATTTTACTTCTTGTGATATTAAAGGAGATCTCGAAGGTTATTTCTGTTGGCGTAAAGGCTAAAAAGATTTCGAAAAGACGGCGACACGATGTTCTACTAGTCAGTTTATTTTTTTGGCTGGGTGCGCTCGAATTTAAAATACTGAAATTTCTATTTTTCCCCGATTTTCAGTACATAAATCTTTAAAAATCTTGAAGACATATATCGCGAACTTTTTCAAAGGATATATAAATTATTTCAGAACAAACCAAACGAGTTCTCAAGTGCATTTAATGCAGCTGATTTAGTCCTGTACGTACACTTGCAATAATATTTGCGAATTTACTAGAGAAACAATCGTCTAAAAATTTATATAATTTTTAAAAAATCCGGGTAAATATTATCTGCCACTAACTGCATGCTCAACTGACCTATAAACAAAACGAAAACCAATATTACAAACACACTTTGTAGTTCTCCTTAGTTGTGTTGTTGTTTTACTGTAGGTCTAAAAAGCTCGCTAAATTTATTAATCGAAATTAACAAACAGCCAACGAGCGAGGACACCAGTTTTCCTGGTTTATTTTTCACAATAAGCGAAGGCATACAATATGTCTGTTACCTTAAGACTAGCGCCACCAGCTTTAATAATAATGCCTACAAAAATTCCTTGAACAGCGATGCGATATTTTTCGTCTAATACTTCACAGTTGGCGATTGAGGTTCCTCCGCTTGCGTACCCCGTTCAGAGAAGTCATTCCCGGCTAAACTTTCAAGTGAAACCAGTTTTAAGATGGACAGTATTTTGATTTGCACTCGTTTGTTGGTCAATCAAAAGGCACTTTGTTAGCGGTCAACAACTTGCAAAGGGATTCAACTCCGCGGTACTCTCACATTAGTTCTGTAAATAAAGCAAATCCTGAGAAGCTATGAACAACTATATGAATTTTCTGAATTTCCGTGGCACATATTAAGGCATATTTTAATACCATAAGACCATAAAACAATAAAAAGAGACAGCAAAATCGATCCTTTGCTCCGCCGATGACGGATCATTCACGAAAACAACCACGCGAGGAATAAGCGCTTTCAGATATTGTGGCATTGTTCTAACAGCCAATCAGCGTTACGGCCAAAATCTGGCCAGAGAGTTTGTATCAGGCCCAATTTTAGCGGTAGCCGTTAGAGAGAATGTATGAGAACCGCGAAAATTGGGCTTGATCTCAGGTTAAGCCAAGAGGAAATCACGCTGGCCTTGCGATGCTCGAGTGAAACACGCACGCTTCGCGCGCGACGACATTATAAACCTCGCGGCTCGGCGCTTCGCGAGGAACTACTGGTAGCCGACTGACAGCCCTGACCGGCGTAGTTTCGTTTTTATGTTGAATATTGGTAAGTGAGACATATTATATCAGCTTATATGTAGGAGCCAATAGACTGGTCTTTTATCTGAGCCCGCGAGATGTTCATGTGATAATTGTCAGCGGATGTCTGACTTTGACAGCTGTCAATCTAATCATACTCATAAGGATGGCTTACATAACCGAGAGGCTTGTGCAAGATCTACTTTGCCATTTGACATCGGCTTACATGAAGTGTGTTTACGGGTGGGCGGGCGTACGCTACGTCATAACCAAATTTTCTCTGATAGATAGTTTACCAAACTTTTTTACCCATGATGCCCCGCAGCGCGCGCTTCGCGCGCGCGAGAGCTCCGCTATGAAGGAGCCTTATGCTCATGTCGTTACTTCTCTGTTCGCCCTAAACAAGTGTCGGGTGGCTGAGTTACGCCACAAGCTTAGCAAGCGGTAAAATAATACAGGACATACAACCTCTAAGTCTTGAAACTCCACTTCACTTTTATGGGAGTCCACCTCACACGGTCTTCACAAAGGGGACACGCCAGGAAGAATGATCAGTGCTATCCTGACTACCATGCATCCAGAACAGTGAGAGACTATTTTCAGTGTTGCACTGGAAAGGCGAGAAGCCTACAAGAATGTCTGCCATGAAATACCTTGATTTTCAGTACTAAGTCAACAGGGTCTACTTACATGTGTGTGGCAATTGTGGGTGCGCATCTGAAAATGTCGTTGTGTGAAGATGAATCCGAACACCTATAGCCGTTTACCGCTCTCGTCTCCTCTTCGCCTGTATATCCACCATATCCACTACATTCGCTGTTGCAATCTGAAGAGGGAAACAGAATTAAGATATTCGCCGGCTTGTCATTAGACAAGAGAAGGAATCATATCAAAAGTCCAGAGGCCGAACTTCCCTTAAATAGGATCCTCAAAAGACTTTTTAAAGTTATCGGCCAGAACACCAAAACAAGACACTCAGTTAAGGGATCGCTAATACTTTGCCAAAAAAAGACTGACTTTCAAAGATTAAAATATTTTTGTAGTTCAAACATTAGATGTCTCTGAAAATATTACAAAGATCTGGGCGGTGATTACATTAGAGAGTTTTAGATCCGAGTTTACCGCGAACCTCTAACCGCTGGAGGTCACGTGACAAGTCTTTCGCGTCACGTTTGAGGTTTACAACGTGCGTTTTCAACGTGGGGAGCTGGTTTTTCACGTATGTCATTTACCTGAAAGCTTTTAGCGTATAATTATTGTTTCATCCCACGTAATAATACAAAAATCTTGTGGAGCAAGTCTTTATACATTAACAGAGGCACAAATTCGGGCGAAATGCTAAATTTGATAAATCCTATTGGATCTTGAAAACAAGTGCCATTCATGGCTGCTGATTCAAAATGGCGGCCGTAAAATTGCAAGAAGAACTAATGTAAGAATTTACAGCTCTTTGCTGCTAGATAACCCAGTGTTGCCGTAAATTTCTTTTATTTTCACAGATTAATTTTTCTTCTATTTCTAAATGGAATAATAAACCAGAATCCACTTGTTTAATCCACCGCCAATCTAAATCGAATTATGTTTGAACGTCGAACCGCAAACGGGTAACCGCAAACCGCGGTTAGAGGTTCGCGGTAAACTCGGATCTAAAACTCTCTATTATCACGGTACGTAACCTGCTTAGCTGCAGCTGGAAGTTTATCAGCTGTAGAGCGTAAAGGAACTTTAGGTAATCTTACGCACAGTTTTTCCGGTCGAAACCGACTGGAATACTAACCGTAGCCGTTAAGTATTTATTAGAGACCTTTAGCATCAGGTCACGTGGCCATGGCCTTGCAGTCACGTTTGCAGTTTGCAGTTCACGTTTGAACCGCAGGAAGGGCTTCCAGCGGCAAGTGATTTACAGCAAGGTTTTATGCCACTCAAAATTGTACAGCCTCGCGTTTAATGGCATGAACTAGATTTTTATATCCGTTTGCGATGTGTTTGTTGGATTTTTGATCTCGAATCAATGAATTATTGCCGTTTTTTGGGCGATTAAAGTGATGCACTTCGACTAGATGAAAACAACATGCGGCCCTAAACAATGAACGCGTAGTTCAAATCGATTATATATTCCTTACTGCCGTACTAACAAAAGAAAGTATTCTGTTCCAATCTAGAGTTAAATTTTTTTTCTATCTTGTTACTGAATTCATGACTTAACTCAGTCTCTGTTTAGTTCCTATTTTTAACGTATCACTCCGCGAATTTCATTTTTTTTTTTTTTACTTATTTCTTTGAGACTGGGGAGCCCAGGCTTCATAAGCCTTCTGGTTTCTTCTAGGCTCCCTTGCAACCTTACAATTGCTATATGTATTCTTGTATTGTATTATATTTTGGCTAAATAAAAATGAACTGAACTAAACTGAACTGAACGCCTTGCTAAAATTTGAAATCTCGGCAACGTGAAACTGCAAACTGCGGTTTGCGGTTTCCCATGAAAAACCTGATGCTAAAGGTCTCTACTCGTTGTAGAACTATGCGACGAAAGAATTCTTATCGCTGCTTAAGGGTGGTTACACTTACTTGTGGGAAAAGATACAATTATTTCTTTAGAATCAGTTCCAGCCTCATTCCTTGCTGTGCATCTGTATTCATCTTCGTCTGCAATACGTACTTTAGCAAATCCAGTTCCCTTAACCAGTTGTGTGCCATTCTGGTTTATTGTTATCTGAATTGGAGGAGTTCCTCTCGCTGAACACTTCAACCAGAAATCCTTCATTGCTCTGACGGCAGGACCAGGGAAATGTATTTCGGGCTTTTCTGTGACAACAACAACAACGACAGCAACTAATTTCGTTGATTGTCCACGGTGTAGTTCGTATTTTATCCCCGTCGAAGAGTGCGTGCACTTCAACACTTCTTCATTAGCCAGTTTTGCAACTTCTAATTCTTAGGCTGGCTTTCACTAGTCACAAGCCTTTAAAAGAATTCGGAGTCGGAGTCGGAGTCGGAGTCGGAATCGTAAGTGGAGTCGTAAGTGCGCAAATGACCTTGTGAAAATCAAAACTCGGAGTCGTAAGCAGAGTCCTCAGCGCAACAGAGTCGGAGTCGGAAGAATCAGAACGTTTCCATTTTCCTCCAACTTCGCTTATGACTCCATCGATTACAATCAACTGAAACCAGATTGTCGGATTCGGCGGAATCAGAACGCTGTTTTCACCAGATCGTAAAGTCCTATGCTTGGTACCTACGATTGGTACCGAGAGCGTCTAGTCGGACGTGTTCTCGATCACTCCGGCTTCTAACTAAATTTCCTTAAAATCTTTTAATATTTTAACCTTTCTCAACTATGACCGGCATAGCCTTGCTAGCTGCGGGCAATACTTTTGTAATTTTATTTGCTTATTAATAACGTTTTTTTGTTGTTCTTGTTGTCGTTGTACGCTTCTGGTTTAATATTTCTCCGACTCCAACTCCGACTCCGACTCAGTCCCTAGAGAAAACCATCCTTTCAGTCAAAACTGTGACTAGAAAAGGAATCATTACAGTCTTGCTTTTGATATTACCTGCTGTTGAGCGTGATACCAGTAGCCTTGTTTATTCGACAACAGGGATGTTTTGGTGATACATCGCTCCCTAATTCTTTCAGGCAGTGAAAATGAATCTTTTTATCCCGCATACCTTAAACAATGGAGTTCTAAGTGATTTAAATGAAATTTGCCTAGATTTCTTTCACTTGACTACTTTTTACTATACCTTTATAGGTGAAATAAATATCGGGATTCAGTCCTGACTACGCTAGAGTAAGACCAAAATCACTCTTACCTATTACAGTACTAGCGAAAAACAATGCTTGAACATTGCAAAGAACAGTATCAGGGAGCACTCTTAGCCGTATGAATAGGTAACGACCACTCGACTGCAGGGAAAATGCTCGTTTTGTTCCACGGTAAATTCCAAGCGAAGCACTTGACTCGTTGTGACCGTCCCATACTTGTAACTCAGTTTCTTTCTCAGTTGGCCAGGAGTAATGCTTGTACTTGAACTCCAACTCCAATGTTGTGAACTTTAGGAAAATATTATTGCCGGCTGGTACTGTAATAAGCCAGGTACAATTGGAGATGGTGCCAGATTTAGCAGTTTTGATCACGCCGTTCACGTCTTCTATTTTCTGCTCACACGGTGCCAGATTTGTGTCTGTTATGAAGGAAAAAAATGACAGCCGTGGTTGATGTTCAATACAATTGCAGTTTTCTGTTTTCTACGATTTAAAAAGAAAAAGGGAGAAGAAAAAGGAAGGAAAAGGAAAGAAAAAGAGAGAAAGAAAAAAAATTCCCACTCAATCGATTATAATATAACTTATACAGTCATGATAACGACCGGGAATTTACAATTTACCTTCTCCAGAACTGGCCTCAAAACCAAGCAGCATTACAAAAATTCCACACACTGCGAGTGGCATCTGCGCCATTGCATCTCAACAATTACCAAAGCAAATTTACAAGGTGGCACTGAAATTTTGAAGATAAAGGCTTTCACATTCTCTTATAACTCCTCTAGTATGAGATAAAGCTGTGTCATAAATACAAATCCGCCGTATTGGAAGAAGAAAAGTGATTATGCCTAGAAAGGTAAAATTTAGCCCAACCACGTAGCAGGCTTTTTTTGGCGTTCTTTTTTTTTCGTTCCTGGTTTTTAAAGTAGGAGATACGACCTTGCGAAAGCTTTAAAGGGGTCAAACAAGAAAACGGGGCCATTTCACAGAAGGGTTTGCTTCTAGCGAATTACCCCACGAGCAAAAAAAAAAAACAACAACAATCCACTTGTTACGCAGGCTGGCCACGTTTTTATGAAAATTAAATACCAGCTTAAAGTTAAGTTGAATGAAAAGAAAAAGGTAAAACACGCCTGTTAAAATGATATGGAAATAGTAATAATTCTCTCGAAGAATTTATGTCATTAGAACGATATCAGATAAATTTAAAAAAAAAATGTCTGGAAGATTTTCCGTTTACTCCTAAAAATTTTCTAGAGCTTTTAAAAACGTTCTGGTTCAGAATAGACTGCCGATAGGCCGCGGAAGAGAGCTAGACCGTAAGGCCGGCGGTCGTATTGACAATAAGGTGTTTGAATTGACTGGATTGTGCTTTACCGCTGTCGGCTAAAGGCATAGAAATAAAGGATACGATGGAAAAATTAAGCTTCCATTCGATAATAACAACAGTATACTGTCGAAATGAGTTTAATTAGTCGAGCTTGCTTTAGCAGAGCGAGACTCTAAAGCTGCTGGCGTTTCTTTTTCTTATTTTTTCTTTGTCTGTGGGCACCAATTAGGAGACGACTCGAGGCCCTTGATTTTCGTGTTATTATGCACGTGTATTAAAATGTAAAAATAATATATAGATTTAGCCAGGGCTAAAAGTGAGGCTCCCATTAATATATTTATAATTTAAATCAAATAATAAACTTGCATTCCACAATTCAGTTAACTTTAGAGCACATAGCACATTCGTGTGACTTTTGAGGGAAAGGATAAGTGATTTTAGAGAAAAATAATTTGCAAACAGCCCAATAGTGAGCCAAATCTTACATCGAGTTGATATCCTCATATGTACACCCAAGAAATAGCAATGATCTTCGATAACATGTAGGAGCCATAACGGCTCTTGATCACCGTAAGATTAATTAGGCCTGGAAAAAAAATCAAGCTGATTTTTTTTGCGTTCGACAAGTTTACTTTACAAAATCTTGCCAACAAATCCGGGAGTATGGCGTACATTTGCGGACAAAAATAATTGAAAATGAAATATAATTTCAAGTTCAAAAATTAGACTATCCATGTCGAAATCTCGTCATATGAATTTGAAATCGCAATGAACGCAGTCGAAATAGCATCATTCGAACTTGAAGTTACTTTGAACAAGTTGAAACTATAAAGGGAAAACTCGACATCGCGGATGTTGAAGTTCAAATCACCATTCCAACTAAAATGCAAATTCATGATTTGAACTTCAATTCACCTTCTTCATTCTAATAAGCTTCTTAATCGTCAACAATGCAACCATAGTCTTCCACAAAATTCCAGATGAAATCTTTAATTTGAACTTAACGTCAAGTCACATATTCGAATTCGAAAAGCCAAAATTTCAATTCGAAGGGAAGCGGAAGTAAAAATACACAGGAACCGGAAATGATAAGAGTTTCGCTACACTGTACGTATGGGATGTTTGCATAACTGCATTTTGGCCCGAAAAGATTTCCCTTCACTCAAACTCTCTGGTCAATATGGCGGACAATGTGAATGATAAGGGTGACTCTAGGACAATCCAAGAGATTGTGAGGGCTGTCGTGGCAAACTTAAGAGTGGTTTTCTGTAAAATTCGAACTTCGGCCCGACACGTTACCTGGTCGATTTGGCTGATTTTTGGCATGTAGTCTTCGAATGGTTTCCTAAATACTGAATGCATATTCTAAGGTTTGAATTCTCTTTGGTTTCAAAGATACAGGAATGACAGGTTTGGCGAGGCCTCGAGGGGCCGCCATGTTGGTGAACTGAAGGAGGTTTACTATGGTTAATTCTGGCTTTATCTGTTCAAATCATGCAACTGTAGTTCTGCTCCATTACATTTGCCCAATTATTTTATTCAACAATCTAACTTATCTATAAACAAACTATGTTTAGTGAAAACGGCTTACTCTAAATCGATGTGGCATGGGTGATATTGGCCTTCCAATTTCTACAAAATTTGTGTACCTTTTAAGTACCGAAAAAGTGCTGTGAGAAGTTACATTATAGCCGTTCGTAGCTCAGGCTAAACTATTTTCGGATAGAAAAAAAGGTAAATGAAAGGAGGAAGGATAATTCTTTGCAACTGTATGAGTCACGATTACGTTATTTTAATGATGAACCTAGAATTAATTATAGTAAGCCTCCTTCAGTTCACCAACATGGCGGCCCCTCGAGGCCTCGTTAAAACTGTCATTCCTGTATCTTTGAAACCAAAGAGAATTCAAACCTTAGAATATGCATTCAGTATTTAGGAAACCATTCGAAGACTACATGCCAAAAATTAGCCAAATCGACCAGGTAACGTGTCGGGCCGAAGTTCGAATTTTACAGAAAACCACTCTTAAGTTTGCCACGACAGCCCTCACAATCTCTTGGATTGTCCTAGAGTCACCCTTATCATTCACATTGTCCGCCATATATTGACCAGAGAGTTTGAGTGAAGGGAAATCTTTTCGGGCCAAAATGCAGTTATGCAAACATCCCATACGTACAGTGTAGCGAAAGTCTTATCATTTCCGGTTCCTGTGTATTTTTACTTCCGCTTCCCTTCGAATTGAAATTTTGGTTTTTCGAATTCGAATATGTGACTTGACGTTAAGTTCAAATTAAAGATTTCATTTGGAATTTTGTGGAAGATTATGGTTGCAAATCATGTAATTTGCATTTTAGTTGGAATGGTGATTTGAACTTCAACATCCGCGATGTCGAGTTTTCCCTTTACAGTTTCAACTTGTTCGAAGTAACTTCAAGTTCGAATGATGCTATTTCGACTGCGTTCATTGCGATTTCAAATTCATATGACGAGATTTCGACATGGATAGTCTAATTTTTGAACTTGAAATTATATTTCATTTTCAATTATTTTTGTCCGCAAATGTACGCCATACGGGTGCGTGTAAACCAACCTTTTATACCATTTATACATCACATCTGAGGTGAAACAGTAGCATGAGGTACTGTTTTTATCATACAGACCTCGGACAACAGAATGCAGTATTTCACAATTTTGCAACACAAATTGCACTCATTCAATATTCAGGACGATCGAAGCACGCGTCGGCTTTTTAAACCGTTAAAAAAATTTCCAAAATCACATATAAGGGAAAGTTCATTTAATATGACAAGGGGGGGGGGATGAAGATATTGAAACTCGAAGCTTGAATTTTTAGCAGCCCCCCTCGCTAGCGGTTCAATTTTTTAGGAGCCCCCTCCTTGGTAGTTGAAAAAATTTCAGAGCCCCCCCCGCCTCCTCCTTCAATTCCTTTGCTCCCCTGAAAAAAGATCGCTAGACTGTATTAAATATATTTACCGTTATTGTCTTCAATGGTTTGTACTATGACAAACTTGAGATACAGTTGTGACACAATTTTCTAAAGCATTTTTAGGATGAACAAGAGTGTAATAATTACTGAGACTACATTTGTTATATCTGTAAACCACGTGATATAGCTGAGTTGCACAGGTCATTAAATTGTTGAGTTGAAAACCATCCGACCTGTATGATCATGTCATGTGTTGGTTTTGAAGTATACAAATTTTCGGAGCCCCCCCTCCTAGCGCAACAATTTTTTCAGAGCCCCCCTTCAGGTGTCTAAAAATTTTAGAGCCCCCCTCAATATCTTCATTCCCCCTTGTCATATTAAATGAACTTTCCCTAAGGCCAGCCGGTTCTCACTTTTGCAGTGCGAGCTGTGGCGAGTGTTTAAACGAACATACTAGAGTTAAGCTACAACATAATAAAGAAATAATTATGTTCATTCAGTTTTATTAAATGGTTTTATCGATGTGTAATCTTTATTTAAAAGCGCCGGTTTGATACGCGCGGCATTTTGAGTACTCCTGCAAGCGATGTTCACTGAACGACTGAAAACAAACGGCACGGCGATTAAAATTAGAAGAGAGACTACCAACAATCAATAAAAGAAATATAATTCGGTGAAACATATACAGAGACAACATTTTTCATTCACGAAGACAAGTATTAAAGTGTCTCTAAAAATCCTGAGTCTGAGTTTATGTTTCAAGCCGGCTTCCCGGTATTTACTTTTTTCAAAGATGATCTCGAGGCAAGAAAATCGCTCAAAGCTTTCTTGTACAGCCAGAATTATAACTAAATGTTCTTTGGAACGTTTTCTTTCTATTTGCGGTAAGAAAATGTCTAAAGGCTTTTTAAAGTTCTGTAAGCGTTATATCAAACCTGATTTTTGGTCATATCAAATTGTCTCAAATCTTACAAACGTGCATAAACTACATAGCCGCATAAACTGCGCTCGACTTCATTAAATTAGATATAAAAAACAAACATCAAACACAATAATTACTGAGGCTCACCATTCGAGATGCAGCTCCTGAAAGGTATCAAGGAAGGCCAGTATCGCTCAGACTTTTCAGCCCTTGCGCATCAAGCACGGTGAAAAGCGAGATCGATGCCA